TTACTGTTGTTGTAAGTAAGCACAGTAATTATGTAGATTTTTAACATGTTGTTACTGTAATTTAGTAATCAAGTATTCTAACGATTATTCCATTGATTAATCAGGTAATCAGATAAGAAAAACTTTCTCTTTATTTAAGCATTAGAGCTATAGCAAATAAACAATAGAGAAAATAAGACAGGTGTTTTAAATGAGTTCAAAGTCTCCACAAGGATTTTATTTTTTCAGCAGAGGGGGGAAGGCTGACCCCCACTGTACTGGTAGTGGAGGATTTTCAAAATGGGATATTAGTACTTTCACTCTAGCAAAGGATTTGATCCTTCCTCCACCTCTGGTTAGCACACCCAGACCCTAATTGCACCTTTATGTTACAAGTCTTCCTTTAAGAAATGTGACCTGTGGCGTTTTTTGGTGGGAATTGAGTCCAGGAAGTGAGTTCCCAGTGTATGAGGCAAAACAATTCCATTCATGATGATAACAACACATTATGTAATAACATTGCATTTTTCTGACAGAATGTAATAGATTTTAACTTCATTAGGTAATAACACCCACATTTTGTAACAATCTGCCCATTTTGTAATTTACAGCCTGATCCCAATATGTAATACATTTTCCCACAACATTATAATAATTGTAATGAATTATTACACATTACATATATTACACTTTTTTATGAACTGTACTTTGAACAAGCTGAAGCTTTTTGATGGTATTTTTGTGGAGACCTGATAAAAGACCATTGCAGTAGTCAAGCCTGCTAGATAAGCTACAACCTGCACAATATGGATTTTTTTCAAATGTTACGATACTGCTTCTCATGGCCAATACAGATAAACTAACCGATACATTTGCATTGTTGAATTTAAAAAGTTCATACCTTGCAGGTACACTCCTGGGGGTAAAAAAGGTTAAGACGTAGTAAGCAAAGATGTACAATTTAATATTCCACAGCTCTGTTCTAACCAAAACTAACTCACATCACTGTTATCAACACAAAAAAAACTCAGACAAATGTTTAATCTTTCTAGTAAAGTTTGTAAAAAAAACTTTACATGCATACTCTGGCTTTCAAAGAGCATAAAGTCTGTCAACCCTTTTGCATAATAATTCCAAATAAATTATTATTAATATCAACCAATAATTTATCGGCTGTAATAAAATTGTACTGATAATTTATAATAATATAAATTTCCCATTATCAGCCGATAATTTATCTGTCCTGATATTTATCCTGCCAACTGCTATAAACAACATGAGTTTTTCCAGGTTGGCATTTAACATGAAGTCCTTGAGTTTGGCTGTATTTGTCAGATGATGATAAGCTAATCTATTACTGCTATTACGTGGCTATTTAGACTAAGATCAAAGTCAACTATAATGCCAAAGGGGGCACCACAGGTCATACGAGTCAAATTTTATCTTTGGAAAATTTAATTTAGGTTAATTGTTAAAAATATAATATGTGTACAGATGATATTTTACCTGGTATTTTACCATATTATAAAATGTTATCATAAAAATTCAATTTCAATTCTATTTGTATAGCGCCAATTCGTAACCAACTGTCGTAACAGAGAAGTCGGTATCTCAGGACACTTTGCAAATAGAGCACGGTCCTAGACCAACTCTTTATAACATTATTTACATTAGACCCAAACCCAGTACCACCGATGAGCAAGCACTTGGTACAAGGGCCAAGGAAAAAACTGCCTTTTAACAGGCAGAAACGTGCGACAGACCTTCGGCTCCCAGTTGGGGTGAGAGAGAGAGAGAGAGAGAGAGAGAGAGAGAGACTCCAACTCTGGCCAAAAAAACCCCAAGGCATAATGATGTTGCTTGTGGGGCTTTTCCCTTATAGTTAGCTTAACTGTTAGTAGCAAGTAGAGTCTTAGGCAAACAGGAGCTAAGCCTGGTCTCCGGGACAAAAGTTGCAACATTGACCTGTTCTCTTGTGACACTGCGTTGCTGCATGTGCTAACTGTATAAGTTGCTGCCATTAGCTTCGATCCTATTAGCTAACTGTACCCTGACTGCAAGCTCAAAGTACCAGGGAGTGTTAACACCACTAGGACAGGATTTTTGGACTGCTAGGGAGGAGGAGGTGAGGGGGCCGGAATGGGCCCCATAGCCAGAGAAGGATGAGCAGGCAACAGGCTCATTAGCCCCCCCATGACCCTAACCATGGCCAAATACAGTCTGACCTTTATTTCAATTTCAATTCAATTTTATTTGTAGCACTTGGCGACGACGGCAAAGAAAAACTGCCTTTTAAGAGGCAGAAACCTAGGACAGATCCTTCGGCTCTAGGTGGCCTTAGAGGCCAGGTAATTTGTTAAGGAAAATATTAAAAAAACTTACTGTAAGTTGATGCCAAGTTACTTGAATGTTATCATGATTCTTGGTGTGAATTACCCACTGCTACTGTGATTCTATCAACTTGTAATATGAAGCTGTCATGTATATACATATTTTGTCAAGTCTGAGAGTGTTTCATTTTAAAATATTTAGTCAAATACCAAATAAGTTCTAATTTGATTTATTTTGGTCAGTGCATCAAAACTTATGTCATTAAGTTAGAACTTTAAAGTTTGAAAGCATGTAGACACTACTTTATAATAATCTAATACATTATAATAAAGTTAGCATGCATGGTAGTGCTTTGAATAAACAATTCACCTACCTCTCTGCAGTCATGCTGTCTTTTATCGCATCAGGTCATATATGTCCAAAATAAATATGTTTGCATATTGAGGGAAAAGTCATTCTCTTCTGACTCAATGTGGTGCCCAAGACTTTGGAATGCCAGTATTTCCTAACTCCTTGAATCTGTGTGGCCCTTGATAATTTTGGCTAAAAAGTATGACAAAACAATGACAATTAGAGCCTGACCCATACTGGATTTTTGAAGGTTATTATGTGAATGTGAATTATGTGAAAAAATTTGTCAACCATATTTTGACTAAATTTTTTCTACAATTTTGTTTATATCTCAATGAATATATGTGTAATAATCAAACATTTGTAATCAGCAAGCCGTATTTCTCAGGGTCTAAACTGTATGCATACATAATTTGCATTTGGGCGGCTGTGGCTCAGAAGGTAGAGCAGGTCGTCCACTAATCAGAAGGTTGGCGGTTTGATCCCCTGCTCCTCCCACTGCATATCGAAGTGTGCAAGTAAAATACTGAAACACAAATTGCTGCCAGTGTTGTACATCAGTGGCTCAGAGGCAGAGCGGGTTGTCCACTAATCGGAAGGTTGTTGGTTCGATGCCCAGCTCCTCCCGGCACATGTCGAAGTATCCTTGAGCAAGATACTCAAACCCAAATTGCTTCCGATACCGTCCATTGGTGTGTGAATGTGTATGA